AATTTGGTTCAAGTTCTTAACATGTAAATCATTTTGCATTTAAGAGTCGCCACTAATCTATTTTTTATGGGTCAATTCAAAACCCAGTAAAGTTTGGAAGAATTACTTTACTTCTACTAACCAGAGATTAAACAATGACTTGTTTATGCTCGATTACTCTAACGCCCTTTTAGTATCATTTCATTTATTTCTGAAAAAATTAGGTATCATTTCATTTATTTCTAAAAAATTTAAGCAGGTAGGTTGGATTGATTTTAACTTAGACACTAACATACAGGGGATGATCATGCGGATGTGCAATCTTTAAAAATAACAATCAATAAACAAAGTAAACAAATTGCGAGAAAACAAAGCAATTGAACACACTAAAGCAGTCAAGTTTTTAAGGTTTTTTTTCATCATGATATAAAGACTAACCTATATATGTCTCGCAGCGGATTAGGAAATAAACCCTAATCGATAATGTCTAGCACAGCAATAAAATATTCAAATTGATTCGAATAAGATTTTACCTAATTTGTGAATAATGTTGCCAAATTTGAACCGGTAGATGGACGGCTTGGACGGGGCCAGCGTTCACGGTGGTGCTGGCCGGTGGTGGATGTCTCGCGGGTCATGGCAAGGAAGGCTGCCCGCGGTGGTGGAGCTCATGACCAAGGAATTTCGGGTCTGGCGCACGGCAGTTCAAGGATGGACGAGGGTGAGAGCTTCTCGGCTACCGATGTCGAGGTGCTCGGAGATGGCTCGGTGAGTGGTGCTCGACGGTGGGGTCTCGGTGATAATCTCGGCCAAGGATGAGGGGACGGTGGGGACTTGTAGCGTTCGCGAGGAGGAGACCGCCGCTGCGTGATTGCTCTCGGTAATCAACGGGGGTGCTTCGGGACACCCGCAAAAACAGAAAGAGCTGCAACGATCGTCGATGACGATGCAAGGATCAGCGACGACGGTGCAGGTGCAGGTGCGGGAGCCTCTCGGTCATGGGACAGCAGGTGCAGTCAACGGCAAGAGTGCAACGGCTTCTCGAAGTTAGTCAAGCAGCTCGCGGATGGGAGCAGCTTCGTCGGGGAATGGATCTCGGAGCAGCTTCTCGGGGAGGACTTCTCGGAGGGACACGCCTCGGACCTGTTCAAGGGCTCGCTGCGGGTGGCTCGTGGTGTGGTGAAGGAACTCTGATTCGCCGGCGAAACCGCAGGACCCCTCGGCGTCGAGGCGAAGCAAGCGAGACGTAAACGTCACGCAGGCTTACCGAGACCAGCCGAGATCAACGAGCGCAAGGGAGCCGGAGACCTCACCGGACGCCTCGGCAGATGATGACCGGACGTGCACGAGCCGCCTCGTATTTGTGCAGGTGCAAAGAGGAAAGAGAAAGAAGACACTCTTCTTCTTCTTTTCTGAACTTCTGCCCTTTTTCCTCTTTCTTGTCTTATTCTCACTGTCCTTCACTGTGGAGAACGTGAGTTCTCTTTTCGTGCCCGCGAATTCTACTTTCTATGGCCCTCCCCTTAAATGTGAAGACTTAAAAGTCTATATTTATAGTGTAGAGCTAGGTTTCTTGTTCCCTAATCTTATTACGTGCTTGTTAAAATTAAGCTCAATGCCTCAGAACCTTTAATTAACTCCACCCGTCGTCGGTCCAACGTCATTTTTGTGAGTTTGTCTTATAATGCAAAATACTCCTGAAAACTATGCAATTTAAATTATTCTTTTTATTTAGGGGTCGGTCCATAATTTCCTATGCAATGAATTATTAAATGGAATTCCAAAATATAGGTGGCAACAAAATCCAAATTGAGAGTCAAGATTGATAAAATATTTAATTTAAATTTTTAAAATAATTAATAATAATTTCATAAAATTTTATATGATATCAAATAAACGCTTTTATATAACAGCTGTTTTATATAAGGGTTTAAGCTTTTAGAAAAAAAAACAAGACATGTATTATTGGATGAGACCCGAAAAGGCTGCACGCAATGGAAAAAAAAAACATAATAAACAATCTGTCCAATCAAAACAAACGAAAAAAGAAGAAGAAGAAGAGCCGTCTTCAAGGACAAGAGCCAAATAACAAAGATGGCATGTCAGTTATACGGACAGAAGACCCTCTGCTAATTTGCTGTTCTCGCTGATTCATTCCCTTCCCGGTCCTCTCCACCGTTCTCCGAATAAAGGGAAATAAATCCTGCTCTCACGCCACTCGCTCCATCGTCAACCTCATTCCCTCCGTCTATATAAACCCATCAACCCGTTGTTTGCTTCACATGTCACGCACTGCACAGACGTCTCAGAGAGAGAGAGACAGAGAGGGAGGGAGGACATGAAAATGGCTTCTAATGGTGTTCGTGCGGTGAGAGGTTTCTGGGTCGTGTTTCTTGTGTTGTTGAGGTTGAGCTGCTCGGCGGGACAGATGGTGCCCGCGCTTTTCGTGTTCGGGGACTCGCTCGTGGACGTGGGCAACAACGACTACTTGCCGATCTCGATAGCGAGAGCCAACTTCCCGCCCTACGGCGTGGATTTCCCCACCAAAAAGCCCACCGGAAGGTTCAGCAACGGCAAGAACGCCGCGGATTTTATCGGTACGCATGACTTCTACATTCATCGGCATCAATCTGCACACGCTTGAGTTCTTCGCTCATCGTCCTATGTCGAGAGTCGTATATCTATCATTCCATCCACCCTCCCTCACTTGGCCTTATCGCATAATCATATCGATTTGACCCTCCCACGCCCGTCGACAAGTAGCGTTCCTCAATTTGAGGATTGAAATCTTGAAAAGTTACGAAGTTGGGCACCGATTGACATGTGACGTCATCATATATGTTAGCGATATTAGGATATTTACTTGATTCTGCATATCTTGCATGTATCTTCTTTGACGGTGCATATATCAATCCGCATTTTATCATTTCAACTATAAAGAAAGTCGATGTAAGAGCATTTTACTGAACGGTAAAGATCCACCTCGCTACATAAATGCCATAAGGACACGCCCTTTTGGAGAAGCGAATCAACTTCACCCATTTAATGTTAAGAACGATAGATATCTTCCCCTTTTTTTGCAATCTTCGCTTACTTGTTGCCTTGCTATTTCTACGTTAACATCTACTGAACCATTGCTGGGAACTGTCTACTTAAGATCCAATGGCTAGGTTTTTGCTTTTTCTTCATACGTAGAGCGAAGAGAGAAGGATACAAAGATAGGGAACGCCCGTATGCGTCGTAATTGATTGATTGTCATGACCTTTTTGGGCAGCTGAGAAGTTGGGCTTGCCGACGTCGCCGCCGTATCTGGCCCTCATCTCCAACTCCAGCGAGAGCAATTCTTCATTGCCCTTCCTGACCGGCGTCAGCTTCGCCTCCGCAGGTGCTGGCATCTTTGATGGCACTGATGAGATACTTGTAAGTAACGGAAATCGTCTTCTGATTTTTTGCAATCGAATTTGTTCCTCATCATTTAAGCGTGTCGTGGCAAACTCGTCATTCTATATTGTTTTAATTCGGTACAAATCCAAGTTTTCCTTATTAGCATTTGATATGAGACCAATCCGACCGAGTGATAATGGGTGGCGACAACATGCGACTGCCGATGGGTAGTGGCCTCATTTAATGTGTCAAGCTAGGAAGATATATGCTCGACACCGATTTCGCGATTCATACTAAAACCCCTATATCTAATCGCTTCTCTTTTTCAAAGGAAAATAAGACGATGTTTCTGTTTCATTTTGAGCATGCAAGTCTCTGGTCTTGTTCGGAGTTAATCTTGATCTGTTTATAGCATCAATCGATACCTTTGACCAAGCAAGTGGAATACTACCTCGCGGTGCACCAAAACCTGGTGCAACACATGGGATCGTCTGGTGCACAGAAGCACGTAGCCAAGTCCCTCTTCCTCATCGTCATCGGAAGCAATGAAATCTTCACTTACTCCAGATCCTCCGATCTCCGGAAGCAGCAGACGCCGCAGCAATACGTCGACCTCATGGCTTCTTCGCTGAAGGATCAGTTAAAGGTACCTACTACATTCCTTCAAAATCAGTCTAACTAACACTATGTTTTTAGGTGAGCTTGTTTGTTACGTGTGCATTATTATCGACTACCAAGGCACGTTTTTTGATTTTTTTTTTCGGGAAACTCGAATTCCTGTGGCAGCGTCTCTACAGTAACGGCGCGCGCAAGTTCGTGTTCGCAGGGCTCCCGCCGATCGGATGCTGTCCGTTACAGAGGAACCAGAACAAAACGGACGGATGCAAGGAGGATACGAATTCCTGGTCGCGCATGTATAACGAGGCACTCCTAGCGATGGTGAAGGGATTGAAGTCCGAACTCAACGATATGAGCTACAGTTACTTGGATATCTACAACGTCGTGCAAAAATTCATCCAGAATCCATCTGCTTATGGTAGGACTTCGAGTGGGACTCGTGAGACCTTTTGAATCTTCTGTATATCAGTGCGATCCTAGACCTGTCAACTAATGACTCTCTACTATTTCCTCAGGTTTTACGGAGGTAAAAGATGCCTGTTGCGGTCTCGTTAACCCAATTGCAATAATTCCATGCTTACCCATTTCGCAGTACTGCTCCTACCGGCGAGACCATGTGTTTTGGGATCTTGTCCATCCCACAGAAGAAACAAACCGCATGTTCATAGACATAGCCTTCCATGGTTCACCACAGTACACATACCCAGTGGACGTCCAGCAACTGGCCACCGTTGAAACTTAAGCAAAACAAACAATTCAAATTGGAAGAAAAATTTTCTTTTCAGACAGTAGGATTACATACATGTTGTCAATCGTCAAAAAGAGATTCAGTGTTTGGGGATACTTGGGTTAATAATAATCGTTGCTTTTAAAGATGTCATTCTGTTGCCGGGCTTTGTATATCAGAAGAAAGAGCATCGACAGTTAATATAATCTCAAAGTGGTATTTGCAATAATCTCAGAGCTAACTGTAAAAATGCCAACAAACGGATGACCTTTCTGGGTACAGACAGAAAGTATAAACCGAAGGATCCGAAAAGGCTAGATTTGGGCAAATACTACCAGTTACATTTACCCTGGAAGTTCATAGTAGGACCGAAAATTTTGCAACGTGAATGGGCAATGACCAGTAGATGGAAGGCCAACTTACGCTTCCTCAATTTTCATGGTCTCTCTACTTAAACTTTCGAGAGGGCACATCAAAAGGAGACATTTTTTACTAGTCCAGTCATGCAAACTAGAAGTAACTCTAATTAATGATGAAAGGAAAATTGGGATTATGAAGGAAATATGTCTTTGAAGAATGCTTTGAGCTCACCATTGAGGGAATCAAATGCCAGCATCTTGTCTACCGCCTTCTGGATTTGCAAACAGATATATAATAATGTGTGAAAAAGCAGAGGAGTTATCTGTGCAATTGTGGAAACTGATTGTGCTGAGTCCCATACCTTGTACTGCTGATCTTGTGCTGATATGTTCTCATTGCACAGTCGATCAACAGGCTGGTTATTCCCAATAACATCTTGCATCAGGGCAGCTCTTCTAATTACTTCTTTTGGAAGACCTGCAAAATCAGATGGCGGAACTGATGAATCATACAAATTAACTGTGTTCTTCTGTTCGTTACTAATTCTCTGCATGTGATATTAATTTCTTTCACATCTTGCTAGATTGCACATGAAAATAATTGGGAACGGGTTCATCTTCTCAGTCCTTGTTTTTGATAGGATAGGATAAGCATTAGAGAGCGCTTCGCCTTCTCAAGTTAAGCTATTAGGCTTGGATTGCTTTGCTGCAGGTCTTGGCTGAAACCACACTTTCACAAACCATTTTCACCATCTTTTTTAAATGCATATATCAGCCTTGAAGCTGCATTAGAGGCCCGGCTCCTATGGAACACGTCCCATAATTTCAATATCCCACAATGCAGGATAAGTTTGCCAATAAAAATTCGGATGTACCAGCCAGGAGAGCACAATGAAGCCCTGCAGGATTTTAAATGTGTTAGGAACCTAACATGTAACCCCCAGGATGAACCTCCAGCTCAAACATTCATGTACTCACCATAGCTAAGAAGAGTGTGTCCAGGAACAAGGCTGCACAAAAATTAGACACTTTAGAGAAGATATGATGTCATTAATAAAGTCCATCATGTAATTCTAGAAAGCCAGAGTGCAGTCTTGTCACAAGAACTTTAAAAAATGGTAGCAGTGCTGGATTGGCCTAGTGGTCAAATCTAGTCAAGACACCAATGTAACAACCGCAAACTGAAGGTCAGGCTACCTTGCCAACTCTGAGGACAAATTTACTTCAGGTTGATACTTTATGTTATAAATTAACCCCTTGATTTAGTATCAAAGTGCAACCCCGTATTCTGTGATTGAATTGTGACCCTCCTACTTCTCTGTTTCATAATGCCTCTTCTCATTAAGCTGAGTAAGCAACTGAATATTTTTCAAGACAGTTTAGCATCTGATAAACTAGATTAAAGAACTAAAGTACCTACTTATCCAAATATAAAAAATTTAATGCACCATCTATAGACCTTGGTTATTCCCGTACTCAAGGTACTCGATACATAGTTTTTACCATTTTCAGTCACCACAAAAGACAACCAGTCATTGTACTCTTTCCTGGTGAAGTTCATGCTACTTAAACCCTGCTAAAGCCACCAACAAAACAACCCCACGTATCTTCTAAGTAATTGCCCAATATATCTCAACTCAAATACAGACAATTTGCTTACTGCAACATTCAAGAGACATTTGATGGCAACGAAAATGAAGCAATACCGATATAGGAAAACAAGGTCTTCAACGTCTGTGCTGTTGTCCTCGGACCTTAGAACACTCATAGTGTAAAACTTGATCTGCTCACACTGATTTAGTAATAAAATACAGGTAACCAGTCACCAATGCTATTTGTTAGTCTAAATGCCAAATTCAACTCTAAAACAATGCAATACCTTTGGTAGAAAGTTCTCAGAAAGCAGCTCAGTCAAGTGAGTGCAGACCAGAACCTACAGATCATTGCAGCATGATTAAGTAGTCATTCAATATTTCTACTATTAGAAAGATATAAAATGCAACTGTGGGACTTCAGGCATTTGTCGTTTTTCTATTCTCTCTTTCGCTTGGCTAGGAATGGCAGACTTAAGCTAGAATGACTAGCATAACATGGCCGAGTCTTTCTTTGAAGATTGCCCTTTATTTTCTAGGGCAACAAAGCAAATAGTTAGTTGGAAAGTCTCGTACTTAGAACATTAGGTGAGGACCACAGCAAAATATGGTCCAGGTGCCAATCATTGACAGATAATTCTTTCTAGGAGATCTTTCAACTGAATGTTTAAATCCCAAAAGCAGCAGTCCCGATCAATGGAATACAGAGGAAAAAGGAGAAGCAATAATATTCATTGGACTGTCCAAAACAAGTAAAAATTTGTTTACGGTGGCATGCGATTGGAGAATGCGTCTAATGGTTTACAAATCAGAAAAGTGCTCTGTTAAAAGATATATTAATAACTTTACAGTGGTTTTTCATAATAATCCAAAAACTTAGCCTACACAAAGTTTCTATTTCTAAGAAAGGATCAGATTAACCACGGGATGCTGATAGAATGTCTAAGCTAAGAAGGTAGATTAGTGATTTGCCTCACTGATTGAAGTGCAAATGTGGCATTGTCTCAACTACTTTGAAAAGGAAATGAAGTAACAAACTTTTGGTGGTTCGTCCCACATGACAAAGTGATTGATTGCTCCACCAAGCAAACCAACTCCATCTGAAAAAAGCACCAAAAGCACATATTCATGACGTAGTACAATTTGCTGTTGCGATTGAAAATTTTTACTCAAGACAGGTAAAAACCTTCATTTAGAGTGCCTTTTCCAAATTCATCTAACAGACATAATGATTTTGAAGTTGCCTGCCTATATAACATTCCAACGGAAGCATGTCAATACGTACATATATATGTAAACTTAATCAAACAGATGCTGCAGCACGGTGATATTCCCCACAACTAAACTTTCTAGCTTTAGAACTTCGAACTAGTACTCAATGGTAAGTGACTTTCCCAGGTAAGAAATTGACTTTCTAGGCAAGCATTGTAATGAAAACCCTTGTCGGGTAGACATGCCTCAGCATCATTCCTACTTGATGGAGATCAATCATGAATGTCGATTGTTCCGCAGTCATAAGCTTGCTTCCCATAGCGCAAAATATTCTGTCGAAAAACTTCTAACATGATCACAACTTCAATATAATGACAATCAAGATGATTGGAGAAAGTGTTAACTTCAAGACTCCAACCTATCTGTCAAACCCACAGTTGCTGATTCAGCAGGCACAAAACTTCCAATGTGAGAAAGAAAAACAATAAGAGCAACCTGGAAAACATCTTCTAGGTTATACACGGAATGATTTTCTTCAACTTGAAGCATGATTTAGACAAACAGCAACAAAATAACAAGACAGAAGAGGTGCTTGCATGAGAATGGTGGGAGCCATTTTACAGACAACATTCCAAATGCCTATTACGAAGGGATCAATATTATGCCCAATAGTTTATCGCAAGTGAAAGTAGGTGTTCAGGCTACCAATTGAACATATCATAGTAGCAGTAGGTGCCAGACATAACAATAACCACTTGAATTTGCAGAAGTAGTAAGATAGAATAAAATCCACTGAATTACGCTGCCTACAGCCAAAGCCACGGACTAATGGCCAAATCATGTCAGAGATATTTGTTACTGTGATTGGACACTGAAAGAAGTACAGCTACTATATCTATGTGGGAGAATAACAATATACTCTCCATCTCTGACAACTCAAAGTGCATTAGTCCAAAAGGGGGTCAGATATCTATCTCTAAAGAAAACTCTTATCATCAGAACCTGTTTGACATAGATGCTTTTCCCTGAATAGTTAGGACCAGTGATGATATTAATGCGCCCTGAAACCGACAAGTATTAAGAGTAAATACATCTTTTGGACTGAAATTGACAGGATAGATGATCAAGTGCAGTACATTGTCAAAATTACCATCATTAAAAAATTTTGTATCATTCGGAATAAAAGTGTCGACTGTCATTTCCTGCAAAACATGTCTGAAAATTTGCAGGAAACTATCATTTCGAAAAACCCAAAGGGCAGGAAAAAATTAAATTTCAGTTGACATGAAAGGCATTTTCTAAACAGCTCCTACCTTCCATTTTGTATGTCAAGCAAAGTTTCTTCTGTGAGTGTAGGCCTCACATAATTGTTCTGACGAGCCACCAGTGCCAACGACAAGAAGCTTAGAAGCACAACAATATGATGATCATCATCGAACAAAGAATAATGTACATGAATTCACATTCGAGTTATAGGGAAGGAAAACAACTTAATTATCGGAAATAAGAAATGAAAGCCGGATGTGTGCACCATACAAACACTCGTGCAATGTACGAGCGTGTGTGTGCAAGTTTCTGTCGCACAAAGAGAGAGAGAGAGAGAGAGTAAGCCTCACCAATCTAGTTCAGCAGCAAAATTGACAGCTTTAAGCAGATGTGCTGAGAATGTCAGTATGTGTATAATCAAGTCTCTGATGATTGCCCTCTCCATGTCTGTTATCCATAAAATGAGGAAAGAAAAAGTTCAGCATAAGAAACATAATGCACTAATTTTGCAGGTGAGTTTACGTCTTGCTTGCAGCTAAATAGTTACCAACTACACAAAAGTTTGATCTGGCTGGCTCATCCCATATATAAAGGTTTACTTCCTGTTTGCAAGTTTGATTTTATTTTTTTAGATATTTTGGAAAAAAACATCTTTTTTTTTGGGGCAGGTTCAATGGAGCATCTTAAATAGGGGTCATTCTAGCCTAAGCGACAGTAAGGTTTGCTCCAACCATTCACCCATGAAAGGGCAGCGTGACTCTTCAACTTGGAATTGAGGAAAATGTAAAAAACTAGCGGAAAATGTATGAAGAGAAAAGGGAAAAGGAATAAAAAAGAAGTAGTTGATCTTGTGAACCTAAGATTTTATGATGAAGATCCCCAAGAAGGTCATCCAATTCTCTTGTCTTTGCAGTTCGATAGAAGAACCTCGTCATCTCTGCATCTGTATCAGAGAACTGTAGATAATCTTTGTAAGTCCTCAGTTACACGTGAATAAGTTTGTGCAATTGGATGACTTACGCATCTAATGGAGAATGAACTCACAACATATTCAAAATCTTCAAGCCTTTCTAATGTCATTTCATCGAGTTTCTCTTCAAAAATGCACATCAAGTATCCTGAAAATAGAAATAGAAATAATTGACAGTTTCAATTGATAATTCCTATGGAAAGCTAATCTATAGGTTTAAAAGGTAATTCTACCGTGATAGAGAGAGAATCAAGGAAATTTGGCATAGTAATAAGGACAAAGTTCCCCAAAATTTAACTCAGCCGAGTAATCTTCTGTTGTTTCTAGAATTTCTTATTTTAGTGTCGAGATACTTCATTTTATAGTCTTTAAATGTGTGAACGCCATTGTAGAATTTATTGGTTTTGTTATCGAAATATGCAGCAACATGTCTAATCTTCCCAGCTGAAACTTGTACAGCAAGGAACTACCCTGATTCAGGTCTACTAGACATGCCAACGCAATAGTTGTTGCATCCTTAACAATATATAGTGATGACAGGACAGGATGGTCTAGAGACACCACAGACATGAAAGCTTCATTAAGATTCCAGTATCAATCACACAGTTCCTTGGGAAGTTAAAAATGACAAGCAAACGATAAGTTTTTCATCCTCCAATCTGCTTTGAGTAGTAGTTTTCTGCTTTGATCATAAGCTACAGGCCTGACGCATCAGCAATCAACAATCCTTATGACCACCTCTACATATAGCATCTGGTGATCATGAATCAAATAAAAAAGAAATGACATAAAAAGCTGTACGTAAGACAAAAAGAACTTGGCATGTAGCATCTGGTCAGGAAAATGCAGGCATACCTACTTGCTGAATATAGACAATACATGGAACATGTTTGTCCTTAAACACATCAGGAATATGTGCAAGCTCCAGAGATGCCACCTGGATGCACTACTTCAATCAAGACAAACATTTAAGCGGACTAATTTCTCCTTACTTTACAATTGATGTATCAGAGACTTCGAATGAAAGGAACCTCCTCCAAAAATTCAGGCAGTTCCTCGTAAATTTGCCTCAGCTCGTCCAACTGTACGCAAACAGAAAGAATAATATTAATATATTCAGTCCAAGCATTCAAAAATCCAGATTAAGAGCTCAAGATAAGAGGTCTTGACACATCACTTCGTAGGAAGCAAAGTTTCAATCAAGTGACCTAGACAAAAGAATAGCTGACCTCATCACAGAAACTCTCCTTCACCATTGTCTCATAACCTTTCTCCTTAACTCTGCTGATATCAATAACGCCAATTACCTACAGAAGAAAACAAAATTAGAGAATGATGTAAAAGTAGCCTAAGGTGATTAAGTGGAGACTGCACGATAGTGAGAAGTGGAGTACTAAGAAGAAGGAAAAATTTCAGAAATAGAGATCTTTCGCCTAAACAGAGAGGCAAACTTTCCAGATTAGAAACGGCAAAGAAGATCATAGCAGGGAAAACAACCCAAACAACTGGAAGGGGCCGTAAAGATGCCACTGGCCTCTTATTTATAGGTATTGAACCACAAAATGTCGACTTTATCACATCAATTTAGAAACATCTTAGTAACATGCCTGAAACAAGCAAACATTCTAGACCTTTAAAGAAAGATGCCAAGATCTCCTGAGAGTCTTGCAGAAGATAAGGGAATAATTTTGACTGGTTTCATTCTGATCCTAAACTTCCTATAGTAAATTTTCACCAGTAGAACCTCTTTTAACCAATTCCATTCAGGAAACTAGAAAACATGAAGAAAGAGTCCACACTAGAGAAAAACTGACCAATTCATAAACATAAGCCAGCTCCGTCATGATGCATGAACTAGCCTGTGGCATTGTTACATAGACATATAAGTTAAAAAAGCCAAAAAAGGAGGACGACAGCTGAATTTTTACTGTACCTTTTCAAGAATGTCTGTGTTCAAGTACTTCACTTGCTCACGTAGGCCCTCAGATATACCTACCTCAAGTATCTTATTCAAATGCAAGAGAGAAGAAACACTCTGCCAGTAAAAGTTGGAGTAATATATTTCACATTGTGAGCTTGTAGTATGAGATGAACTGTCAAAGTATTAAAAAAGTGATGCTTGAAGCAGTAAGATTAGCATATAACTCCATTTCCGGACACTTAAACATCTTCTCTAGATTTTAACTTGCATTTATCCATGGAACAAATGCTTTTTGCAAATTGTTGATCGTCTGTTAAAACTCCTATCACACAACATAATTACTGCATATTTTTTGGTGCATTAAAATAAGTGCATGCCGCATAGTACCATGACACCACCCATAGCATAAAACTTTTTCTACTAGATGAAGCAAAGTGATCCAAACCAATTTCATGTTACAAGTTAATCAAGGTGCAGAAGCTGCCTAAAAAGAATCAGAACACATGAAGCACAATAACATTAATCAGTCATTAGAGCCAGTCTTGCATTCAAATCATTAATTGAGGAAAGAATCTTTTGTTGGTTCTGATAACTCAACGATCAAAGGGTGAACATTTCTCATGGAGATATTGATAACATGAAAACTTTCTGACTGTACATGGAGAAATATGGAGGTTTATTAGATGAATTTTCACTCAGCAAGTGCATGTCCTTCCTCTTTATCTCTTGGCACAGTGAGAAGGCATTAACATCAAAAGATATGCTATAATTTCAGGATAGAGAGGCACTTTAAATTTGAGTTATCATAGGTTCATTGAATGTGTTCACACTCAGCAAGTGTATTGCCCTCCTTTTTATTTTCTTGGCATGCTGAGAACACTAACATCAACAGATATATACTGGTTTCAGGATGTAGAGGCATTTTAAATTTGGCTGATCAGAGAGAGAAAGGGAAAGGGGGGAGAAAGAGACAGAGATGACAATTACTCAGGAAAAGGATTGTAAATGACAAAATCTATGACGATAGTATTTTGTATAAGCAAAAATCTATGACGATAGTATTTTGTATAAGCAATGATACAAAATCTAAATGAGACCACTTCTTTAATTAATTTATAAAGGAAATCATCATGTAACCAATCGCTTTGTAACGTTATCACCGCTGGACTAAAACAAACGAGGTGTTTAGAGGAGAATGCCGCCATGCCATGTAAGGAGAGATAAGTTGGATGCAAACAAGGTGTCTGTTTACCTTCAGGAAAGCTGACCAATCAGTGCTGGTACATATGGAGCTTGGGGAGTTGAATTTCTTTCAAAATGAATAAAGAATTTTAAACCTTAGAACCCGAGAAACAATTCATCAACAGATAATCAAGTGAATCTTTGTCTATACAACCTAACTTAGCGATAGAAAAAGCATGGGTAAGAAGTCCTTTCTACAAGTATAAGAAATATACTTTACGAGAATCACACTCATTGGAAGAGAGAACATGCGCTTCTATACCTTGAGAATGTGTGGAATGTCCTTTACTGACTTCAGAGTTCCACGCAAAGAATCCATCAGTTCCTCAGAGAAAAGGAAAAATGAAATCTTCATTTTGTTAAAGAAACACCTTTGGTCCTTTAAGCTGTAAAAATATATCATCCAGGAACCATTTCTAAAGTGAAACCTCCCTAGACTAAAAGTCTATTAGAACAGTTCCTGGCCCCAAATATAAAAATACTATGTTTCAGTAGGTTGCCACCAGCCAACCCCATCCACAAGATACAGAGAGTAATGAATTAGTATCTATTGTGCGGTTCATATGCTAATGCAGGCCTTTTAGCTGAAGCATGCAAAAAAGCAATGTAGGATACAGCATTCAGACGATTGTTCAAATGCTCAAGGTCAAGTATAGGCCTCAGGAACCAACTTCTGAAGTGACAAGAGCCATTAGTCAGAACCTCGAGTCAGACGTCACTCATGAACGAAGAGTGCTACAATCTCATGAACAAAATTTACCTCAAGAGCCGTCTACCCATTGGCGTCACACACTGGATTGAGAGCATGGGTCAGTCCCATATTAAAATTCATAATAAAGAAGACTGATGACTTTCACTGACCTTGTTCATCATGCCAAAAACCGAGAACCTGTAATTGAGAACATCAGCTTGGAACTTCAGACTTCGGCCGGCAAAATGACATATTAGGTATTTCTTCATTACCCTTCCTTTGCTCTACCAATGCCCATGTGGCTTGGATGTTTGTCTATTTGAAATATCTGCAATGCTTCATGGGCAGCTGCATCTAGTTTGAGAAAATTGCTTCTGTTGAGGAAGTGAAGGAAATGCAAGTCTACTTCCATAAAAAAAGCACCATGGGAGAGGGTGGCCAAGAGAGTTTATGAACTATATGGAAATAGATACAGTGAAATCTGAATGACAGAGTCGATGGTGATCGATGAATTCCCACATTCCTTTTGCTCAAGGGTATCCACAATTCTTTCATTCTCCAAAATCGCAAGAAGTCCTCCGCTTGCACGAACTTCAAGATCACTTCCCATGTCCATCATGGAACTTAACTGGAAGTTCAAGTGCAACAGAAAGCATTAATATTAGGACAAACAAAAGTGAAAGCATTTTTCGCTTCACCAAGAGAAAAAGTGCATGGTCGTTAGATCAAGTTGTGCAAAAGGAGTAGGTGATGCAGGATGAACGCAGGATGCAAAAAGAAAAGAAAGCAGAGGAGGGAATTCAAAAGAAGTTCAGGAAAGATAGTGGAAGAAATGTAGAAGAGGCAGAAATTCAATAGCTTTTTATTCTCAATCATGCAAAAATTTTAATAGAATCCTAAGTAAAAAACGTAATTATTCTATCCACTGGCCTCATCTAACTACAATGGACATTGGAAACAATAAGCCTCTAGGAAATTCCCTAAGAGAGCAATTACATATCTGACTAAATTTAGTTAAATATGCTATAGATTAATCCACCCTTTGAGCAGAGATAATTAGCCTGGACCGTCGACGAGGTGCTGAACCATTACGTGCTCCATCACAAATTGTAGAACACTGCCTTGACATATACATCCAATTAGAAGGTGGAAAATGGCTATAGATTCTTACATAAGAGATTCTCTCCTTAATGCTTAAACAATCATCCATTCCTGTAACTCGAAGGTACATCAATCTGCAGAAGAAATTTAAAAAAAAAAAAGCTAGAAGACAGAGGTATATATCTTTTGCATCAGAACATACATTTATTAGTTACAGCTGAGCCAAATTTAATGAAGTCAAGTAGGAAGTAAACTCTCTCTGTGTTACTTATGCGTTTTTATTAGCCAACTTAATGCTGATTCTTGTGAACTGAAAAGAAATTTCTTTGAGTTGTATAATTCATCCGGAAGGTGGAACCAGCTGTCTTAAGTTCTCTGCTCCTGGTTAGACCTAAAAGGCATGAACTGCTTGCCAATCGTACACTCACGGAATGTGCAAAGAAGGTACTTCCTTAAGCTCAATTAGACAAGCAGATTGCTTGAGATCAAGCCACTACTAAGGTTGCCATTGATTGTATCAAAAGAAGATCATAGACAGCTCTATTCTTCTGGAGACCCTAATAGCATAAGATTCGGGATAGCCACTTTAAAGAAAAGGTGTTTGCAGAGTAATGCCTCCCCCACCTGTGCCATGCTTGCTCATAGCTGAATACTGAACTTTTCACGAGCTTCACTGTAGGAGCCTCAGCTGTCCCATCTGCATCATCTTAAAGAGGAAGCATGGCAAAACTGATATGTGACAATTCAAGAGAAAACTTAGCAGCGTACCACTTCTTTGTAAAGCAGATATAAAAGACTCTTCGCTTTTAGTACTGGTATAAATGAAGAGAGGCGTTGCTTGATATTTAACTGGACAAGAAGAGTAATTAATCAGGTTCATTAAATCCATACATAAAAGATAATGTGACAACATTTTATCATCCTTCAACAGAACATTTCAATGAAGAGGCTATAATAATACAGAAATGGATTCATCTGGTCACACGATGGACAAAGAACTATCATGAGCTGCCAAAACCCATTCAGAACTAACCTAAAGTTAGTCTTTCATATTTCGAACTCAAAGGACTATGTGCAATATCTTAAATAATGATTGCTCCTTGCTTGGAGATCATACCAAGATCAATTAGGGGAAAATCCGGACTTCCATCTTCCCATAACTCCAGCACATGAAGTTGGCGAATGTTGGAATCATAGTAAGAAACTCCAATGCTGAGAACAAATTAGAAATTCATCAGAGTAGTATGATCATCATAACAGATAAAAGGAAATAATATGTTTAAATAGGGATCATTATTGGCCACACTAACTGATCATGATATCTCCAACAAATTCCTAATTATTGTTAATTATCCAGCTCATATTATAATATTCTTAAGCCAGCTTTCCTCATGTTACCAGCTTGTGTTGCTTATAATTTGAACCTGCGTAATAGGACTTTCTTTCATTCATAATTAACATGCATGACCTGTTTTAAACAGGACATTTCATGAAACTTAAAAACTTGTCAGGCAAAGTGCAAAATCCCTACTTGATTTCAGTGTATGGATCATTCGAGGACGACAAAGTCACCTTTAGTAGCTTAATGATGGTGACAAAGTCATGAACCCCACAAGCAAAAAAAGAGGGACACCACAGCAAGAATTGTCAAGACTAGATGAACTTGACTCCTCAAATTTGGAACTATAACCGGGCAGAGTTTAAAGCAAGGTTCACCTTATTGTTATAGTGCAGCAAAGAGGCACAAGTACTTGCTGTATGAGTAGTCAAGCACAGAGGCATTTGGATAAATGCAGGTGCTTGAAGTAACTTGATCACAAAATATGCTTTCAAGCTAACTGTTAATATGACCCTCTGACTGCAATATCGATTTTTATTTACCTTACTGTAGCTGTACAATATCGGAAAAATTTGCTCACTTCATTTCATCTATTAGCAATAAATACCGACGTTTAAAGTGAAAGGAACACTCGGTCATCTTCAGTTTTCCAGGTTTTTTTTTTCACATGAGCGTACGAGAGTCATAAAAGATGTTGTCTAATTCATTGAAACACTGAGATCTGGCAAGATAAACCATGATATCAATCAGCGATCAGCTATATCCGGACCTTATATCCTCATGTTCTAGGCTGTTGGCATAATGTGCTGAACCAGTTAATGTACATCAGTAGCGAGACCTCTCCTTAAAGGGACGACCGCTTGCTATAATTTTGCAGACAACTCGGATTTAATTTGGACTCGCTGTAGAAATTATAACAATATCGAACTAATAGTGCAAGAAAACTTACTGATTACCCTGGAGAATGCATGCCATATAAACCTGCATTTACGTCGAAATAATCAATTCATGAGTTTTTGTCATTCCATGGAGATTCTGAGGACTCACTCAAGAATAGAGGTGGATATCCCAATCCAAAACTTGCATTATGGAAATTAACTCGGATGCAGCACAACACGTAAACACGGTAGGGGCTTCATAGAACTAAACACAACAATCACTTTCCTTTTCTGGAGTTGAACTCAACGCAACGCATAACTAAATCAAGAGTACATACAACGTGCCGAAATCCACGCCAATATGAAAACACGCCAAATCACGTCCGGCAAACATGAATGGACTACACAAACAATAGGGAGAACCGCAAGCAATCACGATCCAAACTCAGTCCCGCATTTACAGCGTCCTACACCGTAAAATCTCCCTATCCTGGGGAGACTATAACCTTCACTCTGTCAAAACAACGAGAAGCGTGCAATCGGATAAGGATTTTTCACGTTAGTCGATTTTGACATCTCTCAGAAGATCGAGCAACAGATACTGCAGTCAAATCCAACCGATAGGCTCAACATTTTCTCGTACAAACGGCGATGGAAACCATCGACCGAAAGCGCGAATCCGCGAGTTTGCAGCTACTCGGATTAGAGGAATGCAGCGAAGCTCGGCTCTCGTTCTGTTCTAGGTTTTCGAGAGACGCGATCGGACTACCTATGGCGCTTCTTCCTCTCTCTTCTTCTACTCCGTTATCTATTTTTCTCGGCGTCGGACGGACGGGAAGTAAAAGCGACGAGATGAAGAGGAGGGAATCGACCTGAGGTGCGGCTTCGGTCTCGTCCACTTCCTCCATTGTTGAGCTCCCGCAGTGCAGAACTACGCTCGATCGAGCGAGCGAGAGAGAGCGAGAGAGAGAGAGAAAGATTGATGATGATGAGAATGAGCGCGCTGGTTTGAACAGAACGGTAATGCCTTCCCGCTGAGTTTAAATAGGAGAGTTATCTCTCCCCCGCTGGTTTAAATAGGAATATATTAAAAACATATATAAAATTGGCCGTGTTTTTTTTCTTTTTTAATATTAATCATTAGAATGTCGTAACGCCGCTACTTTCGATTGGGTCAAATTCAATTCCAACGGGGACTCTAAAGACAACCCGAGCTTGGCTTTGGTAGATTGGCTTCTTTGCGATGTATCGAGCACTTGGTTTGTTGGCTTCGTGCAAATTAGGGGAGTTTGCTTTTCGCTCGAAGCGAAACCATGGATTACTTTTTTGGGTCCGGTCTATTTAGGCATTTCCAAGCTTATTTGTGGAGGTGAATTCGCAAGCGGCCATTTCCCTTCTTCAAAACCAGCTTCCTCTCTCACTTTGGAGACGAATTGGGAAACTGTCATAATATTTTCAAAAGGTCAAAGTTGCACTCGCTTTAGGAAAAGGAAAACTCATGTGCAGATTGGTCAGTAAATTAGGTCATTTTAAATGACACTCTAGTCTAAGATAGACCACTTAGGGGTTTTCTTCCTTTGTCCATGCGAGATCAAATTGGATCGAGTTTTATTAGAAGAGTGGCAATGTAACATTTGAGCTTTTGCCCTATTTTTTTACCAAAAAATAAAAAATAAATATAAACACTTTTTTGGTTTAACACTAAGACAAAATGCATTGCTCGTTTTATTAACGAACGATCTCTCGGTCATATGTACAATTAGCGATTTCATAAAGAATTTTGTAAGGTCAATAACTTGCAGCCATTCGAGCTAAAATTAGCAATTCGATACACAATCAGTAACTCGAGAATCAGAAAACATTATTCATGAGCATATAAGGCTATTGTCCGGTCCGTTTCGAGATCGGATTTCTCAACGAGCGGGACTCGTAACACTAGATATTTCACATTTATATCGATTCTAGGCATTTCCGGTTTCATTGGGCAACGAGGTGAACCAAACGAGGTGTGCAAGCATCCGAATTTGTAACCTTTCAATTTTCATTTTGGCAAACACAAAAAGTCACCGCTAACGAACGAGAACAAAAGGAGATCGACGTCCTTAGCGTATTCGCCGTGCTCTTCCTTCTTCGGGCACTCCGCTAATTCCGCGCTATATCCTTGGACATGGACAAGGTAGTAGAGCACATCACTTGCACATTTTCGTATGCTCCAAACAAAAGGCTCCAAACACTTCGACTTCTCTCTTGCACCATCCTCGCCGCATCATGCCATTTCAACATGCGACCCTAAAAATTTCCAGACAAGATAGTGACACAAATAATCTATGAAATATGTATCAATGTGCAATATGATTTCTGAACTTTTAATTTATTCGATGTAGTTTATGAACTATAATGTGCAATGTTTAATTTAGTCCCTGAGTTATAATGCCTCAGTTTTCGGATTTCTCTTAGTCAGGAACAACATTTCCATATAATTTAGGGACTAAATTGAATATGTACCAAAAATTCAATTTAATTCCCAAACTATATAAAAATGTTCAATGTTATCCCTGAACTTGAATTAATGTAATGACATCATTGAATATATATCAGAAATTTATGGACTACATAGAACAAATTAAAAGTTCATGGACCATATTACATATTGAGTTACAATTCATGGACTATTGTACATATTTGGCCAAAGTTCATGAATTATTTATGTCATTTTCCTTTCTCATGTGGATACTTCTCAAAGCATGGCCCTTGAAGTTTTGAGCAAGGACACGTTAACAGATTAGATGAATCCGTTGTGCTCGAGTCCACGTGATCGATAGGCCAATTTTGAAGTATACGCTCACATTCCCACCAACATTTAAGGATCCGTTTGTTAATAGGAAAACTATTTTCGAGAAATTTTTTTCTGACTTTCAAGTGTTTGGATAACGGAAAACTAATCAATTTACGGAAACGTTCTCCATGGACTGAGCAAATGAAAATAAACCATTTTTCTTGAAAAATGATTTCCCTAAACCACCAAACAAATGAAAATTAACCATTTTTCTTGAAAAATGATTTCTATGGAAAATATTTTCTCTCATTATGAAGGTTTCAGTGAAGGAAAACTGGTTCCAATAAATTGTTTTCTGAATTTTTTGGTGTTTGGATGACGAAAAAAAACTGAATGATCTACCCATGAGCCAAAAATAATAAGTTTAAAATCGAGGGAAAACGACTTCCCTTCTAACAAGAAGGAAATCACTTTCCTTAAATCACCAAATAAATAAAAACTAACTATTTTCAACGAAAATGATTTTAATGGACAATATTTTCCTTAATCGTGAACTTTTCAGTGAAACAAATATATCCTGAAAATGATCGCCTGAATAATCAGCTAATGAAAAATATGTTTATTGCTTATGTGTAAATATTTTCGTTGAGGATGATAATATTTTTCGTTCATCCATTTTTGTAAGCGATTATTTTTAAGAAATATTTTTTAAATTATTTATTTTTCACGAAATAAACAATCTTACTGTACAAATAAGTAGAAGAATCATAATAAATGCACAGTTATTTTTCTGCCAGTTAATAAATGAAGCAACAAGCAATAAAACGGAAAGTTTTACAATTTCAATCGAATATTCAGTCAGCTCCATCTCAAATTCGCAGCTGAGTCCAACACTTTTAAAGATAGACGTTATCGAATCGAATCGAATCATCTATACTTCTTCCGTTTTTTTTTTTAAAATCTTTTTATGGGCATCGAATTAAGCATTTTGTACATCTAGACTCAATATAAACGAGTGATCCCGCAAATTTAATAGGAAAAACAACAATTTTCGAAGCATTTTTTTTTTCCATTTGAGAATCGTTATATTTTTATATTGCAACAAATATGCTTAGAGCATCCGTTCATATGATTTAAACTCTACCTTTGTTATCTATGACCATAAAAAAATGGTTAATACCATGAAAAACTATAACTGGTACATACAAAAAATCCAAAACTGGTAGAACCGTGACAAATTTACCCAATGATAGTTTCCGGCAAATTTCACCATCAAATTACTAAGTTATATCTGTTTGGGGTTTTACCCTCCGTTTGTTACATGTGTACGAGTTTCTGATTTTTTGTGATATTAATCCAATTTAATGGAAACTAACGGAGGATAATTTTGTCGCAAGGGTACTGGTTTGGAGTTTTTTGTGGTAAAAAAATTAGTTCTGGATAATTTCATCACATGTGTTCCAGTTCAGGATTTTTTGTGGTTAAAAAATTAGTTCGGGTAAATTTATTACGGGTGTACCTGTTTGTGATTTTTCGTGGTATCAACACCGAGAAAAACATGGTAGCAAAATAAGAGTTGGCCAAAAAAATTAGTTCGGGGTTTTTGTGGTTAAAAAATTAGCTCGAGTAAATTGTTCACGAATGTACCTGTTTGAGATTTTTTGTGGTATCGACACCGAGAAAAACATGGTAGCAAAATAAGAGTAATTAATCACTGTAATGAGCTTTCGTAATTAATCAGGCATTCACGCCATTAGCTTTCGTCCCGTCATGAGCTATAGAAATTTAGACTCGCGCCGCACGGAAACGCGTCATCCCACCAATCGAATCACGTCGATTAAAAAACAAAAGCTAACAAAAGAAAAGAACACACTATAAAATAAAATAAAAAAAAACGACACACCAATAAATCATTTTTTATTTAAAAAAATAAATTTTGAAATCCTCTCTCTCTCTCTCTTCCTCAATACACACTTCCCTGGTTTCTCCCTTCGTCTCTCTCTCTCGTTACTCGACTTTCTCTCTCTACGAGCAGCAGCAGCAGTCAGCTACAAACATGCCTGCATTCCCGTCCCCGATTTAGCGACGCCGCGATCGTCGCCGCACGAAGGAGGAGGAGGTGGAGGAGGCAGCCGGAATCCTCGCTCCCTCCCTCCCTCCCTCCGCCGCCGGATATGGAGGCGCCTTCCTTCGTCTCCAAAGCGAGGACCGCCTTCCATTCCGCGGCGGCCAAAGCGGAGCGCGTGCTCGCGGACATCAAATCCGACCTCAAGCACGACCGAGGTCCCCCTAATCTCGTCCGCTCCTTTCTCGCGCGCCCGCTGATCTCCATTTTCGCGCTCGTCCGCTAGTTTAGGATTCGTTTCAAGATTAGATTTTGACCGTATTTAACCCGGCGTGTTTTTTTCTCTTCGGTTTTTTGTGTGTTGGAGCAGATGGCGATAGGAAATCGCCCGCGAGTTTGTCGACGGAAGATGAATCTCCGGGTGACTCGGCAGAGTCAAAGGTACTTGAAATTCGATTGACTTGTTGCTCGATTATGGTTTCCTTGTCGGACCCTTGTTCCGGTTTGACTTGCGTGTTGATCGAGCGGAATCGTAAGATAGAGCTGTTCGGGCGCCGAACGATACGTACATTCTGCGATATCTTGCTTGGGTGCTGCGAAAATGGAGAGACCGTGTATGAGATGGACTGAATTGAAAATGAATGGTTCTATATTCCGATGATGTTAGGCCTCGAATTCGATGTCTGTTTCGGGTGCCCGGAATGGAGGGGAGGCTTTTCACTTGGCACTCGAGATGCCTGATTTTCCAATTCCACGACGAGCATGATGTGTTGAAAAAAATGTTTCCTTTTCTTGTGTTATCACTGGCGCATCTTTTTTATTTTGATTCTTTGTTTGTTGTGAATTTGATCACTCAGGCATACCATGAGTCAAAGAACTTGAGGTGGAAACCGCCACCGATAACGTTGGGGACAAAGCAGGAGTGGCAGGACAGATTGAGAAACATAAGAATAGGGAGAAAAGGAGCCGATGACACTGAGAAATCTGAGAACTCCAAGATGTCCTTTCCAATTTTCAACGAAAATCTGTACATAGTGAACGAGAAGAACGATGCTGAATCAAGGGTGAGAGTTTATTATTATATTTTTTTGTGCTTTAACTCTTTTGCATTCTCAAATGTTTATTTTGTCCATGTGTTATAGCAATCAAGTTTGATGACCCACTGGTTAAATTCATTGGTTGCA